ACCCTTCAGTTCACAGGCCGATGCTCTATCCACTGAGCCAAACCAGCTAGGGTGCAGAGTTCATCTTTTATTATACCCTTGTAGATTTAGGAATCATTTGTAGCAAAATCTGAAACCCACACTCCTTTCTCTCTCTATTTTTTTGGATTGTTTGCTTTCCATTCTCCATGTCATAAAACCAAAGACCTCATTTTACACATGAAGAATCTTAAACTAGTTGAGGTTAAATAAGCTTGTGTTAGATCAGCGGTTCTCAACCTGTGGGTTGTGACCCCTTAGGGGGTCGAATGACCCTTTCACAGGGGTCGCCTAAGACCATCGGAAAAAACATATATAATTACATATTGTTTTTGTGATTAATCACTATGCTTTAATTATGTTCAATTTGTAACAATGAAAATACATCCTGCATATCAGATATTTACATTGCGATTCATAACAGTAGCAAAATTACAGTTATGAAGTAGCAACGAAAATAATTTTATGGTTGGGGGTCACCACAACATGAGGAACTGTATTAAAGGGTCGTGGCATTAGGAAGGTTGAGAACCACTGTGTTAGATCAAATGGCAAGACCCAGGTTTCAAATCCATGATTGTGTGTTCCAGGTTATGAAAATTAATTTTAATATGAACCTAAGACAATCAAAACTGAGAAAGACAACTTGTATGTCTAAAAGTCTACTGTAGTCAATAGGGAAATGTAAATGCTTGTATTGCTTTTATGATCATTGATTGTAACAAATCACTAACCGGAAGGACTGATTGTTAGTGATTCTTTTGGCAGTTGTGTCTATTCATCGTCATGGACACTGTTAGGATTAATTCTTAGATTCTTTAGCGAAAATCACCCTCTTGCATTTGCTATCAGATCCTGCCACTTTGGCAACTGGGATGGGAGCATGACCTAAGCCTGGTCAGTCACAGAACTCAATCCTCTGCCACAGGATGGGTCTGGGAGGGGGTCATTGCCCGAGAAAGACGTAACCAGTGACTAAAAGGTAGTACAATTGAGCTCCTACCATGAGATTTGTTTTTTATTAGATGTGATGGGGGGCACGTTTCCCTTTCTGGTTCTTGAACAGGGTGAATGTGTGCCTGGAATGCTCTGCACCCATTTCTCCTATCATCTGGGGAAAATATCTCTGCAGTTGGAGAGAAAAAATAACACAAAAGAAAGAAGCAGAAACAAGTAGAAGACTTGGTCTTTATGACTTTCGAATCGCCAACTCTACCCATTCCTGAGGATGGATTTATCCCTGCCCCTTCTCTCTTTATGAGAGCCAAAAAATGTCTTGTTTTACCACAATTATTTTGATCAAAATTTCTGCCACTTGAAATAAAAGTGGTTTTATTTCATTTGTGACACTACTTTTCTTTGTGGGCACAGATTATTAAAAGTGCCTGTTTGTGATTTTCTAAATTAATAACAATCTGGTAAGAGCTAACAGAAATGCTAAGGGTAGATTTAAATTCAACATGCATTTTTTTGGGGAAAAGTTATACTAACCTCATACAATACTCAAAAATAAATTTTAGCTTTAGGCTGTAATGTAAGAACAAACTTTAAGAAGAAAATATATAATACATTATATAAATAATATAAATATAAAACATTTTAGAATATATCTTAGGGTAGGGAAGGCCTTTACACACAAATGGAAAACCTAAAAGCCATAAAGAAAAATACTGGCAGATTTGATTGGGAAGATATTTAAAATGGTTAGAATATAAAAGTTGTTATTAACTATATTAAAAGACAAGTGACAGAATGGAGGATATATTTGCAAAATACATAATTTATGATGAGATAACATCCATACTATATAAAAAGGTTTTACAAGGCGGTCTTGAACATAACCCACGAGGAGAATAGACAAAAGTTATAAACAAGCAATTTCCAGAAGGAAAGAGAGGAATGGCTGGCTTCAATGTATCAGTGCAAGAAACACAAAGAGGACATAAACCATAACATTGAAAGAGAGTAGAAAACACAGCCTTTCCTTGAGGAAAGCCATTTCTCCCTCAGTGCCCTTCGTTCCTTTGCTGCCTGGGGACTCGTTTGCATGTTCCTGTCTCAGATCCATGCAGAATCCATCGAGGTCTCCTTGTTCCTCCAGTATACCTTGGGCACACATCTCTTACGACCCTCAGTCACTGCATTCAGTGCTTGCTTACAGGTTTGCTTTCCTTCACGACTAAGGCCTGCGCCCATCACTTTGTCTCGGTAACTAAAACTTAGTTAGCCTCTTTGACTTCATGATGCCTTATCTAATATGTGTCAGTAGAATAAACTCTGTAAATGTGTGGTAATGAATAAATAACAAATGGTGCATTGTCATGGACACTGTTAGGATTAATTCTTAGATTCTTTAACAAAGTGCCTAACTTATTTTTAAAATATGTTTTTGTTGATTTCAGAGAGGAAGGGAGAGGGAGAGAGATAGAAACATCAATGATGAGAGAGTCTTTGATTGGCTGCCTCTTGTATGTCCCACACTGGGGATCAAGCCCACAACCTGGTCATGTGCCCTGACTGGGAATCGGACCGTAACCTCCTGGTTCATAGGTTGACACTCAACCACTGAGCCACGCTGGCAGGGCCAAAGTGCCTAATTTTATTTTGACTCTAGATATTGACACATCTTGTCTTATTCATGTGGGCAGGGAGAGTGCCAAGAAAAAAAAATCTGTATTCAATCAATTCTAATTTAGCAATTCTTGGTGTCATTGCTGTGCCTATGCCAACTGGATTATCATTCCTGATGATGTGACAAAACGAAGGCAATTCCTTGATGTTTCAGTGAACAAATGATTCAATGGTCATTTGAGAAAGAACTACTCATTCTGGCTGTTGAATGAAAACCATCTGTTCTCATCACTTGGTGAGATCCAGGAAGGACCCACATGAAAACTTACAGAAAGAGCGTCAGTGGCTCAAAACATGATCCAGAATCTCTAGCCCTCTTGATGCCCGGAGCGTACTGTGTGCAAAAACACAGCCATCAGCAATTATGAGTTAACCGGCAATTCAGGGAGTCAGACTCGGAATGTGAAGATGGTTAGAAATACCTTGACCAATTTTTTTCACTACTATAATATTCATGCACAAGAGTGCTAGATAATACAACCTCTGCCACCATCTAAAAGGATTGTCTCAATAATTGTAAAATAAAAATTCTAAGTAATGAAAAAGCAAAAAAGCATTACATCATAGCTGTATCATTGAACTGACAATGTTATTCTTTTTTCTTTGGGAGTGGTATATTCTATAATGGTGCATCTTGCAATCACCAACATATTAGATCTGGTGAAATATGGTAATAATAACACCTAACATATTGAGCCCTTATTTTTCCAAGGCATCATCCAAGGCACTTTACACGCAATATCTCACTTAATTGTTTTAACAACTCTATAGGCAGACTATGACTATCCTAGCGTTACAGCTAATGAAACTGAGATTTAGAGAGGTTCATTACCGACAGGTTTTTTGAGTGACTCAGAGCCTGTGCCATTACTCATTCATGAAGGAAGCAGCCACAGTGATTTCTTAGGACACATACATTTTTGCAGGGCTCAGGTTTGGGGGAAATAATACGATGTAGTGCCTGCCTTGTGAAAATTATGATAAAAATAAATAAGTGTGAGCATGCATTCATGCTTATAAATAATAACTATGAATGTCTGCAGTAAACATGATGTTGTCAAGTGCAAATATTTGTTGTACAATGGGAGCTGTGTTTGCAGAGCTGTACACACACCAACAAGTACAACTGTGACAAAGCATGCCCTGATGTGACAGACTCAGTCAATCTTGTCCCAGTGAGGGTGGCAGAGTATAGCTCACCGCCTCTCCCCCCATGGTAAAGCACCTAAACCCAAGCCGCCATCTGACATTTCAGCGGCAGCTCTGCTCTCCTTTATAATCTACTAGTAGCCCTGCACACGAATCCGTGTGCAAGTAGCTCACTGCCGCTTGCCTCAGCTGCCCACTGCTGCTGGTAGCTCTCCACTGCTCATAGCTCACTGCCCCGCCCTCTGCCCTCCTGTAGCTCTCTGCCACTTGTAGATCTGTCGTGACGTAATGGCGTCCTGGCTAATTTGCATATTCCTCTATTATTATATTAGATACCCACAGTACCAGCTCTCGAAATCAATTTAGCAGTAAATAAGTCAACAGAGCCTCCCAATAATAAGTATAAACGTCAAGTCAAAAAATGCTGCACGTGAGAATCAGCTACCGAACTTGTATACATATAAACCATCTGGAATGAACCCGTAATCTGAGATCAAAGTGAATTAACTTTTAGAACGTCTCTCCAACCTCCTAGTAGACAGTCCATTAAGCCTTGACTTGGCCTTATTAGAAAATCATTTGGAAAACTGCTTTATTAGCTACAGAATATCTTCCCAGATGCTCAAAGCCAATACAGAAATCGATTTTAAGGCTTTTCATAACTGCCAGGAAAAGCTGTTTGTCTACACTCTCACTCATCGAGTGTTCTGTTGGTGAGCATCTTTGTCTCTTGAACTGATTCAATGAGAGCTTCTTCTGCAGCGTCACCAGCTAGGGAGTGAGCACATGCCGACGGAAAGGCATTCTCCGTCACGTTTTAAAAGGATATTGCTTACTTTTTCTCATTTTATCCAGTCCGCATCTCCTCCGAGATCATCCATTTTAAGGTGGAGACACGAGCTTGTATCTTTTTTTCCCCTCTTCCCATAATTTTTCTGCTGGTGGGTTGCTAGTGTCAGTAGCAGCCATCCTCAAATTCTGAAGGGACAGTGAGATTAGTGGCTGCGACCTGGGGGCAGGTTTTTAGTACTTCCTATTTCAAATTCCGTCAATGCTTAACCATCTGTGTCATCCAGAGGTGGGTATTTATTACAGTTCCTGTTGTTAGGGGAGGAATGTTAGATCTTGGCCAAGGGCCTTTGGAAACAACAGCCAGTGGCATTTTGTACCAGAGGGCATGAGGAACCTCGCTGGGCGTGCTTTCCTGGGGTATTTGAACTTGGTCAGCAGTACACTGGATGTGGGCCTACTGTTCTGTGGCACTTGCCC